CCCCGTGTGTGTGTTGGGGGTGTTGGGGGGTGTCCCCTCTCTGGGTGCCACCCCCCCTGAGCACTGCCCACCCCCCCGCAGAAGCAGGATGTGGACGATGACACGGAGGAGCTGGAGATCGCCGTCGACAACACGGCGTTCATGGATGAGTTCTTCGCGGAGGTGATGGAGGGCAGGGGGGGGTGGGGGGAGCCAGATGTGGGGCTGGGGGGGTACGAGGTGGCCTCTTGTGTCTCCCCCCACCCCCCACCCCACCCTGCTATTGTCCTCGTCTTGTCTAGATCGAGGAGACCCGGCAAAACATCGACAAGATCTCGGAGAACGTGGAGGAGGCCAAGAAGCTCTACAGCATCATCCTCTCGGCCCCCATCCCTGAGCAGAGTGAGTGTGGTGGCCTTGTCCCCCTCCAGCCCTCCCTCCCCAGGTCCCCTTCTTGGGGACATTCCTGTGGTGGCTTCCCCATCTCACGTGCTGTGACCCCTCAGAGACCAAAGACGACCTGGAGCAGCTGACAGCAGAGATCAAGAAGATGGCCAACAGCGTCCGCAACAAGCTGAAAAGTGAGTGGCCGCGTCCCCACCGCCCCGTCACCCAGCCCCACGGGTCCCCCTGTCCCCATGGGAAGGGTGGGGTGTGCTGGGGACATGGGGACCGTGGGGTCTGGTGGGTGGGGAAGGTCCCTGATGGGTTGGGGTTTGGTTCCTCTCGCCAGGCATGGAGAGGAACATTGAGCAGGATGAGGCACGGTCCTCTGCTGACCTCCGGATACGCAAGTCCCAGGTGAGCTCCTGTCCTTGGGACCCTCTGCTGGGACTGTCCCCACCGTGTCACCCTGTCCTGAGCACCCTGTCCCACCTTGTCCCCCACAGGCTGGAGATGTGGCATGTCCTGGGTGTCCCCAGGTCCCCATCTCCATCTTCTGACCCCCACCCAGGGACAGCACCCTGTCCCCCATGGGCTAGAGATGTGGTGTGTCCTGGGTGTCCCCAGGTCTCCCATCTCCGTCCCCTGCCCCACCAGCACTCCCATGTCCTGAGCACCCTGTCCCACCCTGTCCCCCATGGGCTGGAGATGTGGCATGTCCTGGGTGTCCCTGGGTCCCCAACTCCATCCTCTGTCCCCACCAGCACCCCCAGGTCCTGAGCACCCTGTCCCCCATTGGCTGGAGATGTGACATGTCCTGGGTGTCCCCAGGTCTCCCATCTCTGCACCCTGTCCCCACCAGTACCCCCATGTCCTGAGCACCCTGTCTCACTCTGTCCCTCAAGGGCTGGAGATGTGACATGTCCTGGGTGTCCCCAGGTCCCCATCTCCATCCTCTGATCCCCCCCAGGTTCTGAGCACCCTGTCCCCCACAGGCTGGAGATGTGACATGTCCTGGGTGTCCCCAGGTCCCCATCTCCATCTTCTGACCCCCACCAGGTCCTGAGCGCCCTGTTCCCCATTGGCTGGAGATGTGACATGTCCTGGGTGTCCCCAGGTCTCCCATCTCTGCACCCTGTCCCCACCAACACCCCCATGTCCTGAGCACCCTGTCCCACTCTGTCCCTCAAGGGCTGGAGATGTGGCATGTCCTGGGTGTCCCTGGGTCCCCATCTCCATCCTCTGTCCCCACCAGCACCCCCAGGTCCTGAGCACCCTGTCCCACCCTGTCCCCCAGGGGCTGGAGATGTGGCATGTCATCGGTGTCCCCAGTTCTCCCATCTCCGTCCTCTGATCCCCCCCAGGTTCTGAGCACCCTGTCCCCCATTGGCTGGAGATGTGACATGTCCTGGGTGTCCCCAGGTCCCCATCTCCATCTTCTGACCCCCACCAGGTCCTGAGCGCCCTGTTCCCCATTGGCTGGAGATGTGACATGTCCTGGGTGTCCCCAGGTCTCCCATCTCTGCACCCTGTCCCCACCAACACCCCCATGTCCTGAGCACCCTGTCCCACTCTGTCCCTCAAGGGCTGGAGATGTGGCATGTCCTGGGTGTCCCTGGGTCCCCATCTCCATCCTCTGTCCCCACCAGCACCCCCAGGTCCTGAGCACCCTGTCCCACCGTCCCCTGCCCCACCAGCACTCCCATGTCCTGAGCACCCTGTCCCACCCTGTCCCCCATGGGCTGGAGATGTGGCATGTCCTGGGTGTCCCTGGGTCCCCAACTCCATCCTCTGTCCCCACCAGCACCCCCAGGTCCTGAGCACCCTGTCCCACCCTGTCCCCCAGGGGCTGGAGATGTGGCATGTCATCGGTGTCCCCAGTTCTCCCATCTCCGTCCTCTGATCCCCCCCAGGTTCTGAGCACCCTGTCCCCCATTGGCTGGAGATGTGACATGTCCTGGGTGTCCCCAGGTCCCCATCTCCATCTTCTGACCCCCACCAGGTCCTGAGCACCCTGTCCCCCACGGGCTGGAGATGTGGCATGTCCTAGGTGTCCCCAGGTCTCCCATCCCCATCCCCTGTCCCCAGCAGCACCCCGTCCCAGAGCACCATGTCTGGGTGCTCCCAGGCTTCATGTCCCTCTGCCCTGTCCCCAACACGCTGTCCTGTCCCCAAAACTCTGTCTTGTCCCCAACACTGGGACCTGTCCCCTGGTGGCCAGGGAGGTGCCATGCTCGGGGTGTCCCCAGTCTCATGTCCTTGTCCCCATCCCCAGCATGCAGTCCTGCCCCCTGGGGACTGAGGAGGTGCCACGTTCAGGGTGTCCCCAACGCTGTGTCCTGTCCCCTGGTGGCCAGGGAGGTGCCATGCCCAGTGTGTCCCCGTCCCCATGTCCCTGTCCCCGTCCCCAGCACTGGGTCCTGTCCCCTGAGGGTCAGGGAGGTGCCATGCCCAGGGTGTCCTCCAAGTAGGTGCCATGACTGGGTCCTGTTCCCTGTGGGTTGGGGAGATGCCATTCCCAGTGTGTCCCCAACCTCGTGTCCCCAACCCCACATCCCTGTCCCCGTCCCCAGCACTGGGTCCTGTCCCCTGAGGGTCAGGGAGGTGCCATGCCCAGGGTGTCCTCCAAGTAGGTGCCATGACTGGGTCCTGTTCCCTGTGGGTTGGGGAGATGCCATTCCCAGTGTGTCCCCAACCTCGTGTCCCCAACCCCACATCCCTGTCCCCGTCGCCAGCACTGGGTCCCGTCCCCTGGGACTGGGGACATTCCATTCCCAGTGTGTCCCCAACCCCGTGTCCTTGTCCCTGTCCCCTGCACTGTCCTGTCCCCCGGGGGTCGGAGAGATGCCATTCCCAGGGTGTCCCCAACCTCGTGTCCCCAGCCTTGTGTCCCCAACTCCATGTCCCTGTCTCCGTCCCCAGCACTGGGTCCTGTCCCCCGGGGGTCAGAGAGATGCCATTCCCAGTGTGTCCCCAACCTCGTGTCCCTGTCCCCATCCCCAGCACTGGGTCCTGTCCCCTGTGGGTTGGAGAGATGCCATTCCCAGTGTGTCTCCAGCCTTGTGTCCCCAACCCCATGTCCCTGTCCCCATCCCCAGCACTGGGTCCTGTCCCCTTGGGGGCCGGGGATGTGCCATCCCCAGGGTGTCCCCAACCCCGTGTCCCTGTCCCCATCCCCAGCACTGGGTCCTGTCCCCTTGGGGGCCGGGGATGTGCCATCCCCAGGGTGTCCCCAACCCCGTGTCCCTGTCCCCATCCCCAGCACTGGGTCCTGTCCCCTGTGGGTTGGGGAGATGCCATTCCCAGGGTGTCCCCATCCTCATGTCCCCAGCCTTGTGTCCCCAACCTCGTGTCCCCATCGCCAGCACTGTGTCCTGTCCCCCTGGGGGTTGGGGAGATGCCATTCCCAGTGTGTCCCCAACCCCGTGTCCCTGTCCCTGTCCCCAGCACTCGGTCCTGTCCCGCAAGTTCGTTGACGTCATGACCAAGTACAACGAGGCACAGGTGGATTTCCGGGAGCGCAGCAAGGGCCGGATCCAGCGCCAGCTGGAGATCAGTGAGTGCCCCCCCCTCCC